TATTATCTGCTGAGATATAAAATATAATATTAAGGTAAGTACTAAGTAGTATTTATTCATGTTGAATAATTGTAGTAATTGATTCTAAATGTTAGAAACCTACTTGACATTATTAAAATGAAATATAGACTGGTACCTATAAATATTTATTTGAGATCAAAATATAACCTAAGATGAAATCTATTTGAGTGCTAAAATCCTGAAATACTAATACCTTTGAGGCTTTGACAAACATTTAACACAAACTTACCGTTCAGACTCATCAGCAGCTTGAGATGCCTCGGCCAACTTAGCAGTGGCCGTGGCCAAGCGCTCTTCAGACCTTTCAAGGTCCTCTTCCAGCAATTGGATACGCCTGTTAAGTGCAGCAACTTCACTTTCAGCCTGTAAAAAGAAATGAATAATAAATATCTAGCATAATACTGTTTAAGTGGGGGAGAAATAATTTGTAGATCTTTATTGGACCTAAATATTGCTGTGTTTATACAGGATTGTTTCACAAAAATGTTAACATTTTATAGATATAAATACAAATATAAATATCCTATTTTATACATATTCAGGTGTAAAATACCAAATTAACAGGAAACCCAACCTAGGCCGTAACTTCCTGAATTCACAGCAGACAAAACTGTTAGTATATTAAATATACATAAACCCCATTGTTAGGAGATAAATTATTTCATCACGCCTCATCGTTCCATATATAACCTTGAATGATCAGCTTAATTTTACATACTATAAAACTATACAATTATTAAACTCAAAGTTAGTATGTGATAATACACGTGTTTAAATTTCCTATACCATATCAGTATTATGGATATTTAAGGTTTGTTTAAGATGTCATATCACATAAATAAACATTGAATAAATTAAGTATAACTTGTGATATAACTTATTTTAATTTATATTACCCAACAATAGATACCAATTAGTTATTTATATTATATTATATTAGATCAATTATGATAAATTTCAAAATATGTGGACCATTAGTTACACGGTATAATATTTATAATAATAACTCCAATTTTTTAATCTAAATAATAACTGCAACAATCGATTAAATATTCAGATAACACTTATTTTTTTAGCAATTAGGTAATTAAAATTTTTTTCTTAACTAGTTATGAATAAATAAATTCCAGATAATGAATTTCTAACAATACATTTGATTATTGTTTCTATATTTTTAATCTTAGTTTCAATAGTTGACTAATGACGAGACTAATTAGTATAAATGTATGAAGACTAATGGCTGATTAAATGTCATGAACAAATCTTAATTTTCATAAATGACACCTATATTATGAAAATGTTCTTAGCGTTAAGTAAAAATATTCAACAACTCTAACTAAAATTAAAACATACCTAACACACACTATGATTATAAATCAAATGTGTTCAGTTAAATTTTGTTCCTAAAAATCATGTTGTTTTGATCTACAATAGATGTGCAAGTTAATAGGATAACTTACTGAATTTAACATGGAGCCAATTACCAAATAATCAATAAAATTATGCAACTACCTGTATAAGATAAGTCCAATTTTATATTAACCTTTATGCTTATACTAAGTCACCAAGAAATATTAACAACCACCTAATGAATAAAGACTTTTAGATATTTAAGCTGATAACTTTTTTGTAGAACAAAGTTAGTAATATTTGTTTCATTAATAGTAAACACATAAGTAAGAATTAAAATTAATTCAAAATCGAAATCCATTTTAAATATGTACAAACAGACAAATCCTACCTATGCAATTACAATTATTTTTTTTTTAACCGAAATATCTACCAAAGYGTAACTATTAGAAAATATTGCACAAAAAAGGTATGAATGGCAGTGGAGTCAAGTAGAATATCCTTCGAACAGATGATTGCTATTGAATCAGTGGGAAAAATAAGATCTTATATACTGCCCAGTACCATGAGCACTTACCAAACAGAAAAACGACATAGGACTCAAAATATGAATCGCAAAGAGATAAGACGGTACGATCGAGCATCGTTGACATTATAATTATTACGATTCTAGATGCTATATCTATTTTTCTAGATAGTATAAAACTATAAAACCATGCACGAAAAACTTTGGACCACGATGCCCAACGACCAGACAAGACGGAATGGGGATTGTTTTTTTTTTTTCAAAACAACGCGCCATCACGATAATACTTAAGTAGCCGTATCATTATTATGTCGGAAAAACTCAACGTACTTCCTCACGTCTCATGACCTCCATCTGGAGTTTCTTGTGGAAATCCTCGCACTCCTCCTTATACCTCTCCATCTCCTCTTTGGTCTGTCGCATCTTTTTCTTCAGCACGTCCAACAGCGAACCCTGCTGTATGGTGGTCATGTTGACTTCGCGGCGAGGGGAGGACACAACACGGCAAACGAACAAGACGACCGGAAAACCGCGCACTTACGCCGCCGCCCTCGTGCGCCTAAACGGGGAGGGAAGATGAAAACGACGTCGCCGGTCACGTAAACTACGCTTTCGGGTCGCGGTACGACGTGGGCGTATTCTTTCGTTGTCCGCGGAAATCGGACGGACAACGGGGCAGCGGTGAGCCGGCACGCGTTTAGGTAACGGACGGACGGACGACACGCACGATTCACGTACACACAAGCAAACGCACACTGAGTCACTGACACTGGGGCCGGGAACAACACAACCACTGACTGACGGTGACTGGTGAGTGGTGACGACGACCGCTAATATTTTTACGTTGGTTACGTGCAATGTTCGGTTACGGGGACGCACTGCAGAAGCCACACACACGCACACTCGTTCGCTGCAGCTTGCTAACGGCTAACCAGTAACCAACCAAACTGTGTACGATAATATTATAATATATATAACATTATAATATTATTGTATTTACGATAATAATAATACCTACGACGACGGTTCGTCGGACGAATACAATACTCGCGCACAGTGCTCACACACACACATACATACACACTCACGCACACGTACGCGGGTCATGCGCGCGCCCCGCCCCGCCCCGCGCGACGCTGTGTCGAGCCGGCGACGTTTCGTCGGGGCGGTGGCCTTGCGGGCAACGTTGCCGGTTTTCGACGACGCGTCGTCGGGTCGGGGCGGCGGTAATTTCGTTCGTATTTGGCGTCGACCGAGACCGGCCGGCCGGCTGGCGCAAAAATATCTCAAACTGGTTCCGCGGACGGTCTCGCGCGTCCGCAGAAATCTCGTCCCGCGCGGCATTTCCTCAAACGCGCGGCCGCACCGCGCTTCCCCTCACCAACCAATAGGCCCATTGACGCCGGCACAAAAGCCGTGCGGACCGTGTCGGCGGGACGGCGACACCACAGTCGTGGACTCGTGGTTGGGTTGGGTCGCCATTCGCCGCCGCCGTCTGTTGTGACGAACTCCGGACTGGCCTCATAGCGACCGGCCGTACCATAATAATGGTAATGYTTTGCAGTTGGTTTCGGTTACCTCGTTACGCGCGCAAGGGTCGTGTGCCACTGACACGCACGACAAGTGTTTCGCCAAATATGGGGCGGCGACGTAGACTTTTCGCTCGTAATCATCGCAATATAATATTACGTTCTCTTCCTTTCGCAACACGTAACCGCAGTGTCATGACGTCCCATGTGTTCCCGACGATGTTTCGCCTTTTACGTACAACGGTGTTATTACGTACGTTTCTAAACCTCTTCTATATACCGACGACAAACGAGTTATGGTGGTGATGKATGRGGAGATATGGAACATTGAGGCTCGATTATTCGAAAATGAAAATATGCAATGACCTATTAAAAAAATGCGTTTAGTTACGTCATGGGACAACGAGACAAAATCGCTGTGCACATGATGTTATAATATGGACACGTCTTCATCCAGAGCATATTTTACTGTTACAGTTCATACGAAATGCAAACCATCACTTTATYGTTATTATCTATGAATACAATTTATACGCGCGAATAGCGCGAGTCGTGAGTGAATAAAACGAAACGATTTATATTCATTAATCATTTCCATGTATTTTATGAACACAGATGATTTTAATCAAGGGACTTGAAAGAATTCACTTTTTTTTGTTCTAACGGTAAGCAGTTTGCGGCTATTTTTCTTGGTTATTTATTAAAAGTTGGAATGTATGCGAAAACAAAATTCAACAGCTTTACGGTTCCTTTGCCACTCATCAATCAAATCAAATTCTTAAATATAATTCTACAATCTACAATAACTACTCAATCAAATTTATAATATGACATCATTATTGTTCATTAGGCATGTCTTTCGTAATTTTATTCGTTATAACTCATTCAACAATACATACGAACATTATTTATCTTTTTCTCTATTTTTAATTCGTAAAAACAAACACGGACATGTGCAAATTCCAAAGTACGATTTCTTACAACATTAATTATTGATTTATAAACATAAAGATTGTTTCGTTCTATGAATAATAAATACATATATAATATAATGAATATTATATACTACGTATTAAAAATTATTACAATGGTCTATATTTTTTTAGCAAAGTATACAGTGTTTTTTATACAACTGTCAATTTTCAACGACCTACATTAAAAGTATTTTGCATAATAACTTATTGGACTCGGTTTTGTACTCACCCGATATAAGAAAAAAAAAATGAGTTAATGAATAAATTGCTACTTATTTTAGGTGTATAATTCAGTACTTCACAATAGTTAGGTACCATTGATGATACGATGTTTTTACGATTCATAATATATAAACACATAAGTTAAACAAAAAGTTATTTTTTACAAAACTACACGCATTTTCAAGTTATATCTATACGCCTATATTTGACCGGTCACGCGGTTTTGTTTTCGATTGGCCACACCTACTACTGAATTAGGTACTAGGAGGCAATGCCGTAACCCCTTGAAACGGTTTTAAATTAACAGAAAAAGAGAACCATAAAACACGAAACAAAAAACCACATAAATCAATACACGTGTAACCGATGAGTAGTAAAACACTGTAATACCAAACGTGTGACAAACTAACTACASCGTGTTTAGTGTATTGCACAGTAAAATGCATTATGGGCGGCCAGCCTCCAGATTTTKTCGAGTCCTTACAAATATAATTTAATATACAAATAATAATAATTGTATTAGATACGTATGTCRCTGCATTCGCAATTTTTCGGAAYTGTCGCTAAGTAATACATTTTTTACTTGCAAGTATAAATTGAAATTTAAAAAATGTTTAATACCTATAACATATTTCAATTGTTAATTATTCATATTTATTCAAATAATTTAACTTTTCTAATACTTTTTGAGTATTTTTATAAAAATTCAACGTACCTACGTAATAAAATTATCAAATTGTAAATCAATACAGTATTTATGCACTTATTGTCTAATTTAATGAATACTGTAATGATGTTTAGATTGTTTTCTATTTGTCTTTAATAATAATATACACAGAAATTATCATTTAAGAAATGAATAATGAAGATAAATGTCAAACGATTATTATAGACGTCTATTCAAAATACTCTCTTAATTATGTAATGTCAATAACAAAATAATAAAATATTAAAAATGTATAACGAAACTCTTTGTTACTTTTCTTTACTACTATCTGCAACATAATGGCCACCCACTGACAATAATACACCTAGGTTATGATTTGATTTTGTCGTACGGCCCGCTGTTATCAATATCGCGGAATGTTAAGTACGACGTAGCATATTTTGGCGTATCTGCCGATTGGCATATCAGTAGCGTATTTGTGACGTTCAGACTTTCAGAGATTAGGCGGTACGAGGAGTGTAAAAACGCACTAAAAACACTATCATTATTCATTACACTCATTGCGGTGTGCTCAAGATGACAAGTGAAATTATTGATCATACGTACAAGATTTTCAATACGTATACGTAACAATGTATTTAMAGTCTGATCATTGATATATCGGTGGGGAGGGGGGCAAGAATCAATGCTTATCCTGAAGACCAAATTTTGTACACAGCACGTAATGTTTATAACAACACGAATAAATTTGTATACTGAATAAAGTTGCCGTTAATTATTAAAAAATCATTATATGTGTCCACCCCCGTGAAAAATTCTTAGATACGCYACTGCCGCCACCAGCACACAGACCATCGGCCTGCAAATACGCCGCCGCAGACTTGTTGAATGCGTCGAGTAAATGGCATGGCGCTTTGGGAATTGTTATGATATTATTGTGCARTGCCTATATTGTATGGTGTGCCAACAACAAAAACGACGAAGACGCGCTATTTGGATCACAATAATAATAACAATTTGAGTATGGGACTGCGACGGCCATAACTATARTATAATAGCATCGGCGTCATAGGCACTCTGGGTGTAATAACAATATCATCGAAAAGAACGCGAAGGTTGACGGCGCGACGGCACCAGCTGGCGGTAGCCGAACGAACAGTCAGTCCCCCGGAATGCGGTGTGGGATCTGCTCCGTCGTCGCCGCCGCCGCAGCAACAGCAGTTGGGGATAGTTGGCACCGCGCCTACGTTTTAATTATACGTTTAAATAATAATTGTCGGCCGAACCAGTGGTCGTTAAAGGTCGAAAACTATACCTAATGCCGTGCAGCGCGGAAAAACGGAATCRAAAATCGAACCGCGGAAGGCGAATCCTCAGCCGCAGTCCACGTCACGAGTACAGCGTCCGTGAGTGGGAGGCTGTCGGCGAGGACGGTCGGATAACAGGAATCGGAAGGACAGAATGACAGGCGCAGCGGTGAAACGTTGAGAACCCGCGGTGGTTCCACGTCGACTATGCGGGGAGATGGTCCGTCGACGGTCGCGGCGGCGGCAGTCGACGGTCGACGGACAGTCACTAGTCAGCTGCTACAAATAGAGTCGGCCGCCGCCGCCGCCACCGCGGTCACACCGCCACCGACTTACCCGTCGCAGTTGCGGTTTGAGCACGTTGTGCAGCTCGTTCCTGATGATGCTRAACTTCATGCCCGTTTCCGTGCTGAACACGGAACTGGAAAGCGCCAGTCCGGGATAATCGGGGCACCGTCGTCGCTGTCGTCGCTTCTCCCGTTCGGCGACCACCTCGGCGCTCTCGCTGGGACATCGGAGTTTGGCCAGCAGTTCGGTGTCGTCGACCACGCCGCTTCCTCCGGTGGCCGCTCCGCAGTCTTCAACGCCGTCACCAGATTCTCGTATCCGGCATTCCTGTTGCGGCTGTATTCCAATCGCCGGCGGTAACCTAGGCTGCGGCTGCGGCTGCGGCTGTTCCTCCAATGGCGATTTCGGCGTCGGTGGAGTCTGTGGTTGTAGCAACCGGGGCGGCGAGGACTGTGATAGTGGCAGTCGGGGTGACGGTAGCAGTCTGGGTGGTGACGGTAGCAGCGGTTTGTAAGGGCCCGCGGTCGAGGCCGTGGCCGTCGAGTCGGCCACTGTTTCAGCGCCGACCACTACACGTTGCTGTTGATCGGGCGACCACTGCGGCCGCCTAGGGGCCCGAGGGCCTCTGTGCGGACGCCTGTCGCCCGGCCGTCTATCGCGTCCACCGCGGATGTCCATCCGTGTGGCCGTCCTTCGTCCACAACGTGGCGGTGGCGGCGTCGTCGTCGTCAACGTGAACGGCTGTGGCAGCAGCAGCGCTCTCACACGGCGACGGAGCGTCGTGTACAGCGAACGGCAGCAGTGAACGCGCAGGAAATGCACGCGCACGACGCCGCTACGGTTCCGTGTCGTTTTGTTGGCTGGTGTTCAGAAACGAAAAACGACGCACAAGACGACGGGCGGGCGGTACCGCCGTCCGTGTTGATCTCGTCGTCTTTTCCCTCTCTCCCGAACGGCGCCGCTGCGATCGGTGTGTAACGCGACCGTGTTGACTTGCTCTAGTCGCGACTCGCGAGTTAATAAAATGAATTAAAAAAACGTCGTCACGATTGATCGACCACCGTTGTACTGGTCGCAATTATGAATTAATAATATTATTGTCATATCTTGAGTACTATTGCTCTATACAATAAAATTACGGAGTAATATTTATTATATAAGTGTGCGACATTAAAATWGTATAATATTGCCAGATTGGATTCGCAGAAATAACTTTATGTCCATAAATCATAATGATGTGTTTTTTAATAGACAGGTCCATTTACTTGGGTTACTGATGTTGATGTAGGTAGGTACACGAAACCGTGTCATGATCAATTAGAGAGAGATAGAGAGAACAAAACAACGTAACCCGATAACGTCACGTGCGTATTACTGGCAAACGATAGATTTCGGCGAGCGTTTAATTATAATTTTTATTGTTGGCAGGCTTCGACGACAGACTTTTGGTATAGTTGCGATAATAATATTATACTGCCGTATTGATATTAATCAAATACTAATAATATCTTTATGAATTTAGGTATATAAATAAAAATATAAAATATATAATTATATTGTAATCATCGAACGGTCTTGACAGTAAACACCGTTCGGTTGGAATTTCGACTTCGAAGTAGAAAACGGTCATAAATTGTTATTGCATTGGATCATGTTACTTTCATAAACTGTTTTGTTGTTTTAATTTTTTAATTTTGATTARATTAAATAATGGTGTGCACTGAAATCGTGTAATTATTTGAAGGTCAAACGCACAACGTCTTAATATTTCAACCGAATATAATAAATTTTACATTTTTTATACAGACCGTATAATATATAGGTGATAGGTACTATAAATAGTACTTATCAAGTTTTTCGATCTTATGTCCATAAGACTACTTAAAATTTTTTAATTTTAAATTTTTTTACAAAATGCCTTCTTGTTTAATACAAGTTTATAATCTCATATAGAATATGAAATTATAACATTAACGAGTTTGTGTTTGTCAAATTTAGTTACCTATTTATAGTTAGTTATATTATGTTTAATGGTAATTAATTACAATATTAACAACTAACGAAAAAATAATTGATAATACCCCGAGATATCGATTTACTCTTCATGCTTTTAATTTACGCATCAGATGATCTGTGTATGATGACAATGTATTTAGATTTAAGTACAAAAATAGAAAAAATTTCTATAAGATCTACGAAAAACTGAAACTTAAATACTCGATCATAACTCATTATCATAATGACGTATTATTGTAAAATTATTATTTGCTCATAATAATGATTTTAATTTATTAAGTAACTATTTAAAAGTTATAATGGGAGTTTTCTCCTTGCCCCTGATCAGTGAACACTCATTATGCAGTCGTGTTGCCGTACACTTGTACTAAATAACAATATATTTATCATTTATACGCATTACACACGTTAATTATGCATACTAAAAAATAAAATACTAAAATAATTGGATATTATTTTATCATGATAGCTTAGGTGTTTAATGAATAAGCGAGACGAGTACCTATGTCCTATCTAACAACAGTCATCGTATATTCCGTATTTTCGTCATACTTTTTATACACGTGTGAATGTGTGAGTAGTATAAAAAGTATGACGTATCAAGAACTGTGTAATTACGTCATAATATGGTTATGGGGCGACTAAAATATTAAAATAGTATGTCCTAGTGCAGTTGCATATAGTTCATACGTATTAATTATACTTTGACACATTACATGGTACATCCGTATGTATACAATAATAATATACAAGCGTATAGATTTTATCCTTATTTTATACTTGAATAAACTGTTTTATAGCTCACTGTTCACTAAAATTTAAAATATGTATCATCAATCGCTTTTTTTTTATTCGGAGCGGTGATACACTTATATACATCGAAATGATTTTTGAATTTTAGGTATTAATTTATATTCGTATATAGTAAAGCAATATCAAGTGAGGGGATTTAACATCAAACCCCTTATGCGTACGCCACTGTGCATCATAGTTTAATATCTTAAATATTGTACACTTTATCTCAAAAATATAATAAAAAAATGTATTTATTATTTATTTTTAAATTTACAAAAAATTATAATGGTATTAATAAAAGTAAATAACAATTTGATATTAAAATTATGACTCTTTGGGCAGTTATTGCCAATAATTTATAACTGACAACTATAATCTATAGCGGTACGATTTTAGCATTTTTTTAGTTTTTATCGTATAAATATTCACTAATAGTTATAAAATATGCACAACAAAACGAGTTCCGAGTACCTATCATCTAAGTTGAGCGAACTCTGAAACCTGAATGTCCATTATCCTCAACAATACATTATAGGTATTACATCTGATTACAATTTTAAGTAGATACCTAATATAACTAACTAAAGATATGTCTAATATCCTTGTGATATTTTATTATATTAAACTTATTTATGTATAATAGACGTTAAGTGACAAAAAATAATGATATAAGCAAAATAGGATATAGTAAATCGGTTTCCTAGTTATATAATAACCAAAATTCTGCAATATGACAAACGAAAATAATAGTTATCTATACTCTTTACGCATAGTAAAATAATTAAAAGTGAAGTACTCAAGTGTTATCGATTATAGATGTATATATATTATAATTTATGTTTCATATATTATTGTTTGAATTTATTAAAAATGTTTACAAATGTAGTCAATTTTAACAATATTATATTGAAAATTAATTTAAATATATATTTTTTGATTTTTAATAATAACTTTAGAAGTTTCACAACTATAAGTTCAGCCCCCCAAGGCCCCACACCACCTAACTTTAAATACTTACATATCGCTAATACTTAAATTATATATGTATGTGCTATTATTGGAAACACCATAATTAGGAGAAAAAAATGTAACATATTTTATTATTTTATTATATTAAAATTAAAAGTGGCAAACATTATTTCCTATCGAATATCGATAGTAGCAAATATGTTCAATATTTTGCAGGATCAAAGTAATTTTATGGAATTGCATAAATAATGCATTAGCTAGGTCTAGTTATAGCGGTCTCCAAATATAAATTTATTGAATTATTTGTTTAATTCTTTTTTGTTTTGATATTTTAAAAATGTATTTTTAAATTGTTTGCTATAAATAATATTATACTAATATATACTCGTAGTATGAAAATAATTGTTAAAATATAGAATTGTAAAAGTCATGATTCAGCTGTCCTTACTAAGAAAAAAACATGAATAATTGTTATTACCGTTTTGACAAAATATTTAATCTTACAGAATTGAAAATATAATTTTTAATTTATATTTTAAACGTAATAACTAAGTATGATAACAAACCAAACCAATAAAACCTTTTAGAATTAATTATGTTTGTACTACAGAACGGTGAACGAATTTTATATATTAGCTATAATATTCACGTTTATTGGTTATATAATATTATGTAAACAATAAAATTACTTTCATTGTACTTCAGTGATGTCTATCATCTGTATTCAATATTCATTTTATGTTTAATAGCTGTATGACCATTTTATAAATTGTTATATTTTATTATTACGATTTATGAATAATCATTAATCATGATCAAAAACTAAAAACAATATATACTGGTTTTAAATATTAAGACACAACTTATCGGACAAGTTAGTATTATGTATTGCGTTTTTGTGATAATTCAGGCGCTTACTAATCAAAATGTACATTAGTTTTTATACCTATATTTCTGGATGTTTTTTTCCCCCGTTGACAGAATGTACAGAAATATTTTTTTTATAAACATATTTTTGTAGGATATGCAATAATTACATTGAAATATAATATAAAATTGTATGTACTGACACCAATCAAGAAAGAATTATATGAAATTAAATTTCAATATCATGTAAGGCAGTGGTGTAATTAGGTATTTGGTTGGGAGGGGGAGATTATATGTTTTAGCAGAATCTGTAAGCTTCATCTAGTAACCTACCCCACCAAACATAAAATTTTAACAGTAAAATAAAAGTTTTGTGGGGGGGATCTATCCCCTCATCAACCCTTAATTACGCTCCTGATTCAAGGTATAATGTAAATTATAATTAAGCTGTAATGTGATATATGTACTTTAAGTCATTTTACAAATATAATATGAGAATTGATCCTTATTTGGTGATACTGAAATATAGAGTAAAATAGGTATTAAAATTTCGTGACGTATGCAACTTATGAAAAAAGATAAACATCTAAATTCCCTTGTATTGTAGCTTGTTTTTTTCATTTAAGGTTTTTAAATTAACCTAAACACTTTTTATAAAATTAGTTTAATGTAAATTTACATATTCAAGTAAATACCCGACTAAATAGTTTTAGTCTTTTTTCCTAACCCTAATAGATGAATTAATTATATTTTTGACTATGGTGGTTTATAATTATTTTACTATTTATATTTTATAGGATTATACTATTTTAGTATTATTATATATTGTGGTATCATAAAACAAGACAAATTTCATGTTACAAATACAGTAATTTATAGATTATTTTTAAAATAAAACAACTTGTTATACTAATACATATACATATTTCAATATTTGGAAACATAATATGCTGTTAAGTTCTCAATTTATCACAGTTGTATACTAATGGTTTTAAAATAAAATAAAAATATATGCTCTCTAATATATTCATAGTTTTACATAATACCTACATATTGTGTTAACTATTAATTGCAGTAAAATGAATTTTCTACTTTAAAAAAAAAATCATGTTCCTATATAGAAGTTTAATATTTAATATGCAATATTTATTGTACAAAATATATCATGTATTTAATAAATAATAATATACCTA